GTAGCGCCGTAGTGGTCGTCGTAGTAGGAGCAGCAGTAGTAGTAGTAGTAGTAGTAGTAGTAGTAGTAGTAGTAGTAGTTGTAGTAGTAGTAGTAGTAGTAGTAGTAGTAGTAGTAGTAGTAGTAGTAGTAGTAGTAGTAGTAGTAGTAGTAGTAGTAGTAGTAATAGTAGCAGCAGCAATAATAGTAGCAGTAGCACTAGGAGCAGTAGTAGTTATAATAGCTGTGCTCGTACGAATAACAGTAGCAACCACGATAATAACACAGGTGCATCGCAGCGGTAGCCACAATAATATTTGCTGGTGCCGTAGTCGTAGCTGTAGCATTTGTACGGTTAGAAACAACCATAGCGGCAACGATCATTTAAAACATGCGCATGGTTGCGATAGCCTCAATAATACGTGGTGTTGAAGTTGCAATCGCACTAGTAGTTGTAGTTGCGTTGGTACCAGTAGCAGTAGTGGTAACGATAGTGTGGATGTACTGATAATGATAGTAGCAAGTGTTGTTGTATCAGCACCCGTAACATTAGCAGTAACGATAGTAACACATGGGAATAGTACTTCTTTTATGCAGCACCGGTGACAGCAGCGGAAACGGTAGTAACAAATAGGAGTAGTAGTACTAGCTGTTACGGTTGTGGATGTTGTAGTAGTAGTTATTGTAAGGATCCCTTGGGATCCCCCAGAGTTCTTCAGGACAAAGGAGTCACCAGAAAGATTCAGAAGGATTACCACTCGGAGCGGTCCAAAGGATTCTCCAGGATTCCTCAGAAAGATTTCGACGGATTACCACTCGGACAACTACGACAACTCCGAGCCGATAAACCGATGAACCGATCCACCGATAAACCGATAAACTGGTAAACCGACAGGCCGATACACTGGTAAACGGAGAAACATACCGATATACCGATAAACCGATCAACCGATAAAGCCATGCTGCGCTGAGATTTGGACACGCTTGCGATGAGTCGGTTTATCGGTTGATCGGTTGATCGGTTGATCGACCGATAAACCGATATAATCATATCGGTTTATCGGTCGATAAACCGATCAACCGAAATCGTTTTATCGGTTTATCGGTTTATCTGCTTATCGGTTTTATTTTCAAGTCCTGCGGCTGCAATCCGAGTTTCCTCGTCCGACACCCTTCTTCCCTCCGGGGCAGTGCTTACCACTGTTCCTTATTAAAATACACCCCCTCCCCCTCCCGACCAGCGGCCAGACCGGAATCATGCCGACTCCATGCGGGCCCGCCCCCCACCATCCCTGTCAAAAACAATGAACAATACAAACCGCACTCTGCCTCCAGATTTGGAGCATGCGCGGCCAACCCGACGCGCCCCCCCGCACCACCCCTGTCAAAAAAGCAATGCAAAGTGCACTTTGGGGTAAAGTCTTGAGTCATGTTCGTGAGGACCGCGAGCACTTTGTACTGTTCCCGACTATCCTGTGGTGTTGGGTCTCCGTTTTGAAGAGACGGTCCCCGCTTTCACTCCTCCACCTCCTCCCGCTGCCTCTTCCCTCCTCCTCTCATCATCATCACCCCCATTTCGGCACACCCCTCACACGCTTCGTGACCCCATAGGGATCTTCCCCGAAGGCTCCAATGGCGGTGTTCGCATGCGTCCCCATCCACCCCCTTTCGGCACACCCCTCACACGCTTCGTGGCCCCATAGGGAGCTCCACAGAAGGCCTCAGTGGCAGTGTTCGCACGCGTCCCCACAACCCATTAAGGCACACCCCTCACACGCTTCGTGGCCCCATCGGGAGCTCCACAGAAGGCTCCAGTGGCGGTGTTCGCATGCGTCCCCCGCCACCTCTTTCGGCACCCGCCTCACACTTTTCGTGGCCCCACAGGGAGCTCCACAAAAAGCCTCGGCGATGTTCGCATGCGTCCCCGCCACTCATTTCGGCACACCCCTCACACGCTTCGTGGCCCCATATGGAGCTCCACAGAAGGCCTCAGTGGCAGTGTTCGCACGCGTCCCCGCCACCCATTAAGGCACACCCCTCACACGCTTCGTGGCCCCATAAAGAGCTCCACCGAATACCCCAATAGCGGTTCTCGAATGCGTCCCCGCCAGCAATTTCGGCACATGCCTCACACTTTTCGTGGCCCCATAGGGAGCTCCACAGAACGCCCCAGTGGCGATGTTCGCATGCGCCACCGCCACCAATTTCGGCACATTCCGCACACGCTTCGTGACCGCACAGGAAGCTCCACCGAAGGCCCCAGTGGCGGTGTTCGCACGCGTCCCCGCCACCCATTCCGGGACACCCCTCTCACGTTTCCTTGCCTCGTAGGGATCTCCACCAGAGGCTCCAATGGCGGTGTTCGCATGCGTCCCCGCAACCAATTTCGGCACATGCCTCACACTTTTCGTGGCCACATCGGGAGCTCCACAGAACGCCCCAGTGGCGATGTTCGCATGCGTCACCGCCACCAATTTCGGCACATTCCGCACACGCTTCGTGACCGCATAGGAAGCTCCACCGAAGGCCCCAGTGGCGGTGTTCGCACGCGTCCCCGTAACCCATTCCAGCACACCCCTCTCACGGTTCGTGGCCCCATAGAGGGGCTCCACCGAAGGCTTCAATGGCGGTGTTCGCATGCGTCCCTCCACCCCCTTTCGGCGTACCCTCTGACGGGTTTCGGGCCCCACAGGGAGCTCCACCGAAGGCCTCAATGGCGGTGTTCGCACGCGTCCCTGCCATTCATTCCGGCACACCCCGCACACGTTTCGTGGCCCCACAGGGAGCTCCACAGAAGGCCCCAGTGGCGGTGTTCGCATGCGTCCTCGCCACCGATTTCGACAGTCCCCTCACACGCTTCGTGGCAACGTAGGGAGCTCACCGAAGGCCCTAGTGGCGGTGTTCGCATGCGTTTCCGCCACCCATTCCGTCACACCCCTCACACGCTTCCTGGCCCCATAAGGAGCTCCACCGAAGGCCCCAATGGCGGTGTTCGCATGCGTCCCCGCGACTCATTCGGGCACACCCCTCACGCGGTACGTGACCCCATAGGAAGCTCCACCGAAGACGATATCCACAACTGCGTTACTCACAATTGCATATGGTGAGGTTCTTCGCCAGGCTATTTTTTGACAGGGACGGCGGGGGGGTCAGCATATTACCTGCTGCGCTCAGGGCTGCCATCCCTGACAAAAACAATACAGTATGCAGTTCGCGACTAAATCTGGATCATGCGCGGCCATCCCACGATCGCTGCCAAGTGGTTTTTTCCCAACCATCCTGTGGTGCTGGGTCCTCGTTTTGAAAAGACGGCGCCCCGCGTCACTTTACTCACTCCTGCTGCCCCCTGCCTCCTCCCATCCCTGCCTCTGCTCTCCGCATGTCTACAATCTCGGCGCACCCCTCACAAGGTTCGTGGCCCCATAAGGAGCTCCACAGAAGGCCCCAGTGGCAGGGTTTACATGCGCCCCCGCGACTCATGTCGGCACACCCCTCACACGCTTCGTGGCCCCATCGGGAGCTCCACCGAAGGCCCCAGCGGCAGGGTTTACATGCGCCCACGCGACTCATTTCGCCACACCCCTCACACGGTTCGTGGCCCCACAGGGAGCTCCACGCAAGGCCCCAGTGGCAGGGTTGACATGCGTCCCCGTGACTCATTTCGGCGTACCCCTCACACGGTTCGTGGCACCATAGGCCCCAGGGGGAGGGTTGACATGCGTCCCCGCGACTCATTTCGTCACACACCTCACACGCTTCGTGGCCCCACAGGGAGCTCCACGCAAGACCCCAGTGGCAGGGTTGACATGCGTCCCCGCGACTCATTTCGGCGCCCTCCTCACACGGTTCGTGGCCCCATCGGGAGCTCCACCGAAAACCCAAGTGGCAGGGTTTACACGCGCCCACGCGACTCATTTCGGCACACCCCTCACACGCTTCGTGGCACCATAGGCCCCAATGGCAAGGTTGACATGCGTCCCCGCGACTCATTTCGCCACACCCCTCACACGCCACGCTTCGTGGCCCCACAGGGAGCTCCACGCAAGGCCCAGGTGGCAAGGGTTGACATGCGTCCCCGCGACTCCTGTCGGCACACCCCTCACACGCTTCGTGGCCCCACAGGGAGCTCCATGCAAGGCCCCAGCGGCAGGGTTTACATGCGCCCCTGCGACTCATTCCGGCACACCCCTCACACGGTTCGTGGCCCCATAGGGAGCTCCACGCAAGGCCCCAGTGGCAGGGTTCAAATGCATCCCCGCGACTCATTTCAGCAAACCCCTCACAAGGTTCGTGGCCCTATAGGGAGTTCCACCAGAGGCCCCGGGGAATGAGTGGGCGGGCCGTCTCAGAAGGCTCGGAAAGCCTCCGGCCTTCTGAAAAATATTGAAAGTCTTCCCCGAAGACATAGAACGACCCAGAAAACCTCTCAGAAGGCCAGAAGGCTTATGAGAAGCCCTGGCGCCTTCTGAAAGGCCCTTCTCCTTCCCACTTCCCCCCCTCGCTCGCCGCCCACCATTGGGAACGAAAAGGGCCGTGACAACACAGGTGCCCGCAAGGCGCCAAGCTCTCACGGCGTGAGTCCTCGGACCAAGCGTCCAAAACTTAGCATGCCTGGCCGACGCCCAGGTTCCCTATACGGGGCGGCAGGCGTCAGCCAGAAGCCGACGGAGGGGGGAGGGAGGAGGGAGGGAGGGAGGGATCAACTTTTGTCTCAGCACGGCAGAGGCGATCCGCACGGGCGCACAGCGTTGAGGCACGAACGCCAGCATCGAGTTGAGAATCACGGCGCGCTCATGCATACAGTGGAGGGCCATGCCAAGAAACACCCTGCACCCTGCTCGCCTCCAGGGTGCCCTGGGCTTTTTGGGTTTCGATGGCTTTGTCGTGGAAAGCGCGACGCTCCCACACCAAGAATCAATAGACGCCCTGGGGTCTGAGGGTGGGGCTTCTTGTGGAAAGCTTCTTGTGGACTGGCCTCCACTGTACGATGGCCTTTTCCCCCTGGGCTCTCGCGGGCTGCGCCTGGCGTGAACTCGAAGCCGTTCAGCTGCGCCGCCACCGCCGAAGCCTCGTAGAGGCTCGTGAAGAGACCCACGGCCACCACGCCGCCCAGTTCCGCCTTCACGCGGGGGTGGCGGGCGGCGCGGCCAGGCCCGCGGCCCCATCCCCTCCGTCGCGCACTCCCCAGCTCTCGCCCACCCATCGTATGCCCGCTAGTGTGTACCTGACTGCGCTGCGTGTGCCTGACTGCACACGAGCGTGCGTGCGTGTGGAATGCGCCCGTGAATGAGCGTACGAAGGAGAACTGATGGTGCGCGCGTCTGCGTGCAGGAACGAAACGTCTGCACCGGAAGGCTCTGAACTTGAGCACGCATGTGGCCGATTGCAACGCATCGGATATGAACTCAGTGTGGCAGAACGTGCGGCGGCCTGGAGTAAGGTGGCCAAAGTTTGGCGCTCTGCACTGCGGTGCAAGCGCAGTGGAAGCAAATGGCAGGCCGTTGCGGTAGTGTGGCCTGCTTGAGTGTGGGATCGCAATGCGCAATGTTACGCTTGCGCGTGTGCATGTGCGGGTGCGTGTGCGTGCGCGTGCGCGTGCGCGTGCGCGTGTGTCTGTGTGTCGGTGTGTATGTGTGTGTTTGCGTGCGTGCGTGCGTGCGTGTGTGTGTGTGTGCGTGCGTGCGTGTGTGTGTGTGTGTCTGTGCCTGTGTGTCTGTGTGTCTGTGTGTCTGTGTGTCTGTGTATCTGTGTGTCTGTGTGTCAGTGTGTGTCTGTGTGTCTGTGTGTCTGTGTGCCTGTGTGCCTGTGTCCCTGTGTGTCTGTGTGTCTGTGTGTCTGTGTGTCTGTGTCTGTGTCTGCGTGCGTGTGCGTGCGTGTGTGTGCGTGAGTGCGTGCGTGCGTGCGTGCGTACGTGCGTGCGTGCGTGCGTGCGTGCGGGCGTGCGCGCGCGCGTGCGCGCGTGCGCGCGCGCGTGCGTGTGTGCATGCGTGCGCGTGTGCGTGCGTGTGTGTATGTGTGCGTGTGTGCGTGTGTGCGTGTTTGTTTGTTTGTTTGTTTGTTTGGTTTGTTGGTTGGTTGTTTGTTTGTTTGTTTGTTTGTGTGTTTGTGTTTGTGTGGTTGTTTGTTTGTTTGTTTGTTTGTTTGTTTGTTTGTGTGTGTGCGTGCGTGCGTGCGTGCGTGCGTGCGTGCGTGCGTGCGTGCGTGCGTGCGTGCGTGCGTGCGTGCGTGCGTGCGTGCGTGCGTGCGTGCGTGCGTGCGTGCGTGCGTGCGTGCGTGCGCGCATGCGTGCGTGCTTGCGTGCGTGTGCGTGCCGCGTGCGCGTGCGTACATGCGTGCGGGCGCGCGCGCGCGCGTGCGTGCGTGGGTGCGTGCGTGCTTGCGTCAGTGTGTGTGGTGTGTGGTGTGTGTAGTGTGAGGGTATGTGTGTGTGCGTGCGTGCGTGCGTGCGTGCGTGCATGCTTGCATGCGTGCGTGCGTGCGTGCGTGCTTGCGTGCGTGCGCGCGGGCGGGCGTGCGTGCGTGCGTGCGTGCATGCGTGCGTGCGCGCGCGAGCGTGCGCGCGTGTGTATGAGCGTGCGTGCGTGCGTGCGTGCGTGCGCGCGCGGGCGGGCGCGCGGGCGGGAGTGTGTGTGTGTGTGCGTGTGTCTGTGTGTGCGGCCCAATTTGCATCTAGCGACCTCTGCCCAGCCGCCGAAGCAAAAAAGTCTGTGTGTGTTTGTCTGTGTGTCTGTATGTCTGCGTGTCTGTGTGTCTGTGTGTACGTGTGTATGTGTGCACGTGTGTATGTGTGTATGTGTGTACGTGAGTACGTGTGTGAATATGTGTCTATGTGTGTATGTGTGTATGTGTGTATGCGTGTATGTGTGTGGTGTGTGTGTGTTGTGTGTTGTGTTGTGTGTTGTGTGTGCGTGCGTGCGTGCGTGCGTGCGTGCGTGCGGGCGGGCGGGCGTGCGGGCGTGCGCGGGCGGACGTGCGTGCGTGCGTGCGTGCGTGCGCGCGTGCGTGGGTGCGTGCGTGCGTGTGTGCGTGTGTGCGTGTGTGCGTGTGTGCTTGTGTGCGCGTGTGCGTGTGAGTGTGTGTGTGGCGCCTCCTCCTCCTCCTCCGTGCATTGCGGCCTTACTTTGCATACATCGTGTCACCTGTTGCCCTTCCGCTGGAGCAGTCACCCTCTGCCCAGCCGCCGACGCAAAATGTGCGTGCGCGTGTGTGTGTGTGTGGTGTGCATGCGTGCGTGCGTGCGTGTGTGTGTGTGCGTGTACGTGCGTGTGTGTGTGTGTGTGCGCGTGCGTGTGTGTGTGTGTGTGTGTGTGAGTGTGTAGGTGTGCGCGTGTGTGTGCGAGTGTGTGCATGTGGGTGTGCATGTGTGTGTGTGCGTGTGTGTGTGTGCGTGTGTGTGTGCGTGTGTGTGCGTGTGTGGTGCGTGTGTGCGTGTGTGTGCGTGTGCGTGTGTGCGTGTGTGTGTGTGTGTGTGTGTGCGTGTGTGTTGTGCGTGTGTGTGTGTGTGTGTGCGCGTGTGTGTGCGTGTGTGTGTGTGTGTGCGTGTGTGTGTGCGGTGTGTGTGCGTGTGTGTGTGCGTGTGTGCGTGTGTGTGTGCGTGTGTGCGTGTGTGTGCTGCGTGCGTGTGTGCGTGCTTGCGTGCGTGCGTGTGTGCGTGTGTGCGCGCGTGCGCGCGCGCTGCGCGTGCGCGAGTGCGCGTGCGCGTGTGCGCGTGCGCGTGCGCGTGCGCGTGCGCGTGCGCGCGCGCGTGTGTGCGTGTGCGTGCGTGCGTGCGTGTGTGCGTGTGTGCGTGTGTGCGTGCGCGTGCGCGAGCGCGCGTGCGCGTGTGCGAGTGCGCGTGCGCGTGCTCGTGCGCGTGCGCGTGCGCGTGCGCGCGCGCGTGCGTGTCGGCGTGTGCGTGCGTGCGTGCGTCCGTGCGTGCGTGCGTGAGTGCGTGTGCGTGTGTGTGTGGGTGCGTGCGTGCGTGCTTGCGTGTGTGTGTGTGTGTGCGCGCGTGTGTGCGCTCGTGTGTGTGTGTGTGTGCGTGTGTGTCTATGTGTGTGCTGGATGCCCTGTCGCTAGACGCGGGGCCGCGACGCCAAAACCGTTTGTGTGTGTTCCACGGGCTATGTAGCACAGTGTAGGTCGTAATATAGTGCCGTGCGATGCGGCAGCTCAAGAGGGCAAAGGGGAAAAATGAGAGCCCCAAGAGGGCAAAGGGGGAAAAAGGAGGAGGAGGAGGAGGAGGAGGAGGAGGAGGGAGAGAGGGACGAGGGAGAGAAGAAGGAAGGGCAGGAGGGAACAAGACGACGAGAAGGAAGAGAGAGAGGACGGATCAAGATAATCAGTAGAGGCAAGAGAGAAGGACGACTCTGTCCGGACGTGCACCCCGCGAAGCGAGAGGCAGCAGCAACAAGCAGGACGCAGGCTGCTTCGCAAGCAAGGACCGGTGCGACGATGATGACCCGTTGCACGCGGGAGCTCGACGTTGGAGACGCTCGGAGGTGCGAGCGCAAGTGTCGCCCAAGACGAGGTGCGAGTGCGAGTGCCGCCCAAGACGCCCAACGATTTTCCCGAGAGGCCCCCGAGAGGCCCTCCAGGGGGGGGTCTAAGAGGCTGAAGCCATTCGGAAGCTCAGGATGGTCCAGCAATTGCTGTCCGTCAGTTGAGGTCGAGCATGGTGCATGGCAGATTCTGCTTTCCACAGGGCTATTAGTGAATCATTGCGTGCGTTGAGAGACTGAGCTGGTGTCTTGGGGCGCAAGTTCTAGAACCTCCAGTCCATTCCTGCTTCCGCCCCGCCCAGGGGGCGAGAAGACTACCACCGCTCCATCTGCGCACTACTCTACACTGCGTCACAGCAGAGTCTGGCCCGGATGCAACCTGATTCTGGTACAAGCACCGTGGCTTTATCCGTGGCCGTGTATGCGACCAGACAGGGCCTGCGCACAATGGTCAATTGCTTGCACCTCTTCCGCGGGGTGATGGAATTGGTGCCAATGCACTCGACCAGCGATTGGAAGAACCAAAAGAGATCAGTGCCCATGTTGCGGCTCTCGACGCAGATCGAGGCCGACATCGAGGCCAATCGGCAATGTCAGGGTAAGCTGCGGCTCAAGATCGAGATACACTTCGGAAGCCACACGTACAGTTTGGACGAGCCGTACGTTCCACCATTGAACGAGCTCCTGTTGGAGCCACCACCAGGCAGGGCGGGACCTGCCACAAAGAACAATAATTAGGCTGGCGGGTTGTGGTGGGGAATACGCCTGAGATGGAGGCCTGGAGGCGTGAGGAGTGGTGACGGCGTTGTGACCTGTCAGCAGCTGCTCTTTCAATGAACTCATGCCAGCGATCCAATGCTTCGGTTAAGACTGGGGACAGCGCTTGCATTTGCACAGCACTCCGTTACTTGGACACCGTTGCTTCTGAACCAGAGCTGGTATCAACTGCATGTGATGAAAGGTTAGTGCCAGGCCATGGCAGACTGTGCCGTTTCCCATGTTTCTTCACTCCGCTGGCACTTCTTTTTTGCCACGTGCACTAGCAGAGCGCGTGTTTCGCTGGATCTCCTTTTCTGTTGCCAGAACGCGCCCAGTCCACCCATGCAACCGCTAGCAGTGCAGAATCAAGGGTGGAGGGGAGCAAGGGTTGATGCCGGGGGTGGGCAGAGCCCCTTTTAGCAAGACGCCCCTTGGTGCAAGCGACCCGGGACCAGCCCGGGACCAGACCCGGCCGGCGACGGCCCGCAGAACTGCGACCGCAACTCCCTCTCGAGAACCGAAAACGGGCTATTGGCGAATCGACTTGGCAGAGTGGGGCGTCGACAGGATCCTGAAGGATACATAAGGAAATGAGGAAAGATGCATAAGTAAATTAGGAAAGATAAATAAGGAAATTGGGAAAGATAAACAAGGAGATTGGGATTCAAACCGTCGGGCTGCTGAAAAGTTAGAAAAAATAAATCAGGACCGAAGCCCCCTTTTGGGGGCCCCAGGAGCGCCTGCGTGCGCGAGGAGGGCCGGGCCGCTGGAGGAGCAGCCACGGATAGAGACCCCGGGAGCAGCGAGCTCCCTCCGAGGCTGCTTCCTGCGTTGCAGCAGCGACTGCTGCATCTAGGGGGCCACATGCGCACCCTACCCCCACCCCACACGATTTCTGAGGGGGAGGGTGGGGTTTACTTAGCTCGGGAGCTCCCGAACGAAGTGAACCCCACCCTCCCCCTCAGAAATCGTGGGGGGTAGGGCTAGGATTCGCATGTGGCCCCCGAGCATCAGCATCTGGAGGAGTGGAGCTGAGTAAGACGATAACAACAGCAATTCTGATACGATTAAAAAAAGAATACCAAACATAAAAAATACGAAAGAGAAGCGTCAGTATAATAATACTGGTAATCATGATCGTAGGAGAACTTGTAATACTAATAATGGTACTAAAACTGGAACGATAGCGATACTGATAGCAGCAATAGTAACTATAAAAATAAGAGTCATAGTAGTAGTAGTAGTAGTAGTAGTAGTAGTAGTAGTAGTAGTAGTAGTAGTAGCAGCAGCAGCAGCAGTAGTAGTAGTAGTAGTCGTAGTAGTAGAAGAAGAAGTAGAAGTAGTAGTAGTAGTAGTAGTAGTAGTAGTAGTAGTAGTAGTAGTAGTAGTAGTAGTACTAGTAGTAGTAGTAGTAGTAGTAGTAGTAGTAGTAGTAATAGTAGTAGTAGTAGTAGTACTAATAATAATAATACTAATAATACTAATAATAATAATAGTAGTAGTAGTAGTAGTAGTAGTAGTAGTAGTAGTGGTAAGAGAAGTAGTACGCTGCGTGGAGGCGCGCAGTGTCCGATTAATGTCAAGCGTCCGTGCGGCGGGTGGTCATCATCTGGTCTCACGTATGTAGAACGTGCAGCACTGAGCGTGCCTTCATATGAAGTGCAGCGCGCACGCATTCCGAAGATCTTCTCACTGCTGCCAGCCGAAGCTGGAATACACCAGGGGAGGGGGCGGGGGGCCTAGGCAGGCCCCAACGAGTCCAACTCGAAATCTGGGGACAGCCGGATGAGATCAAATCCGCAGACGAGGAATCTCTGAGAGCCAGCAGGCCTGGAAGATGTATCGGGTGCCGCGGCCATTGCAGAGCGCTCCGGATCGCTCCGAAAGCGAGTCGGAACGCCCTTCAGCGGCCGATCCTCATCCCAGGCATGCCTGACTCTGCAACCGCGGCCCTCGGGCCCATTACAGCGTCTGGTGAGGAGGGCAAGGGGGCGAGCGGGCAGGCATGTGAACACGAGGGGAAACGGAAGCGGGGAAGAAATGCCGAGGGAAAACATCGACCTTGGATCGGCGATGGATCGGCGATGGGCCCCCGATCGCAAAAACCGCACGTTCCGCGGGGTGGGCTCTCGGGCTTCCCTCGGCGACAAAGGGGAGATTGGGGGTCGATGCGTCCCCCCCCTGAGCCGATTCCCCCTCCTCCTCCTCCTCCTCCTCCTCCTCCTCTTCCTCCTCCTCCTCCTCCTCCTCCTCCTCCTCCTCCTCCTCCTCCTCCTCCTCCTCCTCCTCGCACTGTCCCTGAAGACAAGGGCGAACAGACGGGCGAGCAGGCCTGGGGCGCCCTGGGGGGGGGGGCGGGGGCGGCAGGGAGGTGTCGGGCCCGGGGCGCCGCGGGCGCCTTGTACTGCAGCCGCACGTCCAGCGACGGGGTGCCGCAGCCGTCGATCACCGCCTTCAGGTCGTCGACCTGCGGCCCCCCTGGCCGGGGCCCTCGCCGGGGGAGAACGGAGCGGGAGGTGCCCGGACACCCTCGCGTCATGGAAATAGTCTTCAGTCGGGCGTGCCCCCCTACAGGGGGATTTTCGACGAAACATAAGATACTCAGAAGTATCACAAAATGGCCAAAGAAATACTCGAAAAATGGTCCCCCGACTATGTTTTAAGAATTTTTTGACCACAGTCGCGGCGGAGGGCTTTTCTCCATTTGCGGCATCGGGGAGGGCCCCCGCTGGACCCCAGGACCGTCAACAAACGACCCTCGGCACAGGCAGCCGGTCCCGGGGAAGGCGCCCAGGCGGGCCAAGGCCTCCGGGGAGTCGCGCTGTGAAGAAGTACGGCGTCGGAGATCTGGGGAAGGGGAGGCGGGAGGGAGGGAGGGCGAGCAGAGATGAGGAGGGAGCAGAGGGGGAGTAGGCATGGGGGAGCAGGAAGGAGGAGGCGGAGGTGGAGGGGGGGGGGGAAGAGCGAGGGCGAGGCGGGAGGGCGGAGGGAGGCGGGAGGGAACACACGGGGGAGAGAGGCCGAGGAGGGCACGGGGAGCGGGCGGAGACGGGAGGGCGCGCTGGCGGGAGGGGCCACAGGCAGGCGGGAGGAGCGACGAGGCCAAGCGGCGCGGCGGGGGAGGGAGAGAGGGGAGAGGAGGCAGGGGACGGAGCAGATGGGCGAGTGGAGGGAGAGGGAGCAAGGGTTAAGTCGGGCGTGTCCCCCTACAGGGGGATTTTCGACGAAACATCAAAAAAAAATACCCCTAAAATTCCCCCAAAAGGTCAAACAATACTAAAAGAATAGTTCCCCGACTATTTTTGGATTATGTTTGGACTATTTGGGGGGTATTTTCTTATTTTTCGTCGAAAATCCCCCTGTAGAGGGACAGGCCCGACTTAAAGCAAGGGAGGCAACGAGGAGAAAGGGGGGGAGGGGCGGGGCAGGGCAGGGCCCGGAGCCCGCTCGCAGCGCGTGCGCCTCCCCGGCGCGCCATCGCAGCCTGGACCGCCAGGGGAGCACCAGCTGCACGCGGGCACCGCTCCTATGGCGGGGCCAGCCCTGGCCCCATACAGTCGGGGCGTTGACCTAAGGAACCCTAAGTAAGGAACGAGGCCCCTTTTCTCCATCAGCTAAAGTTCGATTTCCCATCGAGAACCTAAGGAAAATCTAAGGCAAGCTGTGAAACGATCAGGGAACACGGAGCCCCTCCCCAACGAAAAGGGTTCCTTCTTCAGCGCCCCGACTGTGGCATCCGTGCAGAAACGCCACCCGGCCTCTCGTGACCGTCGGCGGCGCGGCCCGCGGCCGGCTTCTCCGGCGGCAGGCCGCGCGGCGCCAGGAAGGGAGGCCACCGAACCACTCCTAAAGACGAGACCGGACGGCGACTCGACGCGGACTCGGCGCTCGTCCGCCGACATGGATCGGCGGCGGGCGCCCTGGTAACAAATCCGCACGCTCCTGGGCGGGGTGGGCTCTCGGGTCCCTGTCGGCGACGTAGGGGCGACTGGGGGTCGATGCGTCCCCCCGGAGCCTTATTCCCCCCCAACGCTGCCCCTGACCCCCTCAGAAGTCGAAGAAGCCAGGAAGAGGCTAAAATCGTGTGGGAACAGAGCTCCGTAGGATGCCTCGGGCGCCGCGGCCTTCTCGGAGCGTTCCGGAACGCTCTGGTTCCGGAACGTTCTGGAACAGATCTGTCCTCGTCCTGGCACCGAAGAGCACCAAACGACCTCCATCGCGACGGGCTCGTCGTTCACTCTTTCCTGGCAAAGCTGGCCCGCCACAGCCCCGGGGGGAGGCGTGCGCGCGGCACCCGGCTCTGCCAGACTGGCGCTGACTGAAGCTGTCACACCGCCGCCCGAAGCATGACCTGCAAGACAGCAGCAAAACTCGCACCCCGAAAGCCTTGCAAATACACACACACACACATCCGGTAGACAGGATCGCAGCCGATAAGGAGGTTTGGGGGAGGTTGGGGGTGGGCGGGGGGAAAGGGATACCATCAGTTCCGCATGCCCCCAAACGGCAGGTGGGGAGCATTTGTAGCTCCATGGCGGTCCCTGCCTCCTCTCCCTCCCCCTCCCCATCCTCCTCCCCCGTCCCTCACGACACAACGACAACACGACAGCATGACACCCAGAAACCACAGCACGTAACCATGACACCGCGAAATCGCAACACCGATTCACCACGAAATTGCAGTAATGCGAGACCACGACGACCACCACCACAACACCACACCACCACACCGCACCACGACACCCCACGAAGCCCCACAGATCCCGCCCGCCGAAAGAGCAGAAGGAGGAGCAGCAGGAGGCGATGCTTCCCGCCAGCTACCTTCGCGACCTGGGAACTCGCGCAAAGTTTGGCACGCACAGCACGCATGACAGGAGCACGAACTACGATTTTCCGGTGGGGGCGGCTCCAAATAAACCTTTGCCGACCTCCACTACGGAATACACCACCACCAAGGCCCATCGTGGGCCCTGGACTGCTGCATAGAGCAACCTCGCACGAGCCGGGAGGGTCTCTAGACGACTCCAAGCCCAGCTTGGCTCATCAGACATGTGCATCACGCCAGGGCCCAGGACAGGCTTGGCAGGGTCTGGTTGTGGTGTGCTGTTGGAGGTCCTAGCGTTATCCCTGGACCCCGCAGGATGAGCCAAAATAAGCAAAGCGTTCCAAACCCGACGCGCTCACGAAACCATCAAACAATAAACCACCTGGGCCAACTGGGTGCTCAAGCTCGCCCGAAAGCGGCCCATACACGCCCTGGAGATGAGTCTGACGGCTTCACGCTACCGATCGCGGGATCGGGGAGCGACCAGCAATTGCGCGATCGACGAACTCAGAGATCTCGGCCAGGAGATTGCTATTTATCACCCCCCCCCCCCAAAATGTAATGTCCGTAACGGAGGGGGGGCATTCGTCGGGCCTCTGAGCGCCACAGCATGCTTGCAATCACAAAAACATGTCAGTCAACACCACATCATGCCTGTGAGCACGACGGGGGGGAACCGGGACCACCTCCCGCGTATCTTCGTCACCGTTGCGGACGGGGAGGGGGGGAGGGGGGAGGGGGGCGACCACCCGTAAGGGACGTTACGGCTTCAGCTGCTAAAGAAACAATCAACAGTGGATGCAACGACTCAGCCGACTCCCTCAGGACACCTGCAACTTCCCCACCGACCCGCCCCTGTAAGCACGGGACTGCTGGCCCGTACGCACGTGCACGCCGACCCGTGCTCGTGTGCGCGCAGGCGTGAGCATCGTTAACGCGAGCGCGCGCGTGCACGCCACCGCCAGTGCGCGGAAGGGCAAATCGGGTGCAAGCACTCGTCGGCATACGCCAATCCATCGCTCCTGCCCCCCCTGCGGTCTCGTGCGCCATGGTGGACCTCGGTCCATGGAGGGAAGCCTCGTAGCTCCACTCGCGCGGTCGCCTGAGGCAAGAATGTGTGCGGAAGGCTCTTGCTGCATGGCCTGTCATGTTGACTCGCTGCCGCCGACCATACCGCTTCTGTCATTGCTCCTGTCAGCATGTTACTCCTTTTCTGCATACCTCCTTCCAACTATCTTCTCGCACTGTCGAAATCCCACCAGCCCTCTAGGCGCAGGTGGTCTAACGAGGTGTTTCTTCCCTCGTCCCAAGCCCCTTCTTCACCTAGTCGGGGAGTGGCCCGCCACTGCTCTTTCTTCATGTACACCGCCTCCCCCGCTCTCTCGTCCCCTGGCCAGGGCCAACGCCAACCCCACCCCACACCATCCATGTCAAAACGCAATACACCATGGGCTGGCATCAGACTGCCCACATGCGCAAGCCCACCACCCCTGTCGAAAAAACAACTGCAAAGCGCACGTTGCGGCAAAATGGTGAACCAGGCGTGGGCGCCCCGCGACTATGTTGCATCGCTATTTGGCAGGGGTGATGGGGCTGCACTGGCACGCGCGGAGCACCTCGCGGTCGTCGTGTACCTGGCTGGCGTCTGCCTTTGTTCTCGACGACTGTCGATGGCGGCCCGTGCACATGCTCTCGGATGATACTTCTGTGTTGGGAGGGCTGGAGGGGGCGGGAGGGAGGGAGCAAGACGGCTTGCGGCGTGTGGATAGCTTGATCACTGTCCCCTATTGATAAACACCCCCTCCCCCAGGCCACCAGCAGCCAACCCAAACCCATGCGGGTACCCATGACAACCTTCCCCCCACCATACCTGTCGGGAAGCAATACAACATACGCTTTGAGGCAACATCTTGGATCGTGCTCGTCGGCACCGCGAGCATTTTGGTTTTGTTGTTCGCAGGGCGACCGAAGTTCGAAACTCGAAGCGGCACGACCCCCAGGATCGAACCCCGCTTCGGCTGGGTCCTCGACTGGTGCGAAAGATCCCGGGTGAAAGCAAATCGTGAAAACGTTCAAGGACGCATGAACACTAGCAAGACGTTGTACCGCCATGCGTTCAGGAGAGATAACTTCGAAGCAAGCCCTCTAGTGAAGAAATTGCAAGAAATCGCTTCGCACCGTGATGTCGACCCCTGCAACCGCAGCCGTGGCGCCCGGGGACCACCACGACGTACATGCCGAAGGGTTCCTCCATGCCTTGCATCGGTCGTCAGTGCCATGCGCTTCCCACCGACAGCCCACACCATGGGAGGCCATGAGCTGATGAACGTACTTCGACTTGTCGCGATGGCGAGCGGGGTCCAAAGAGAATAAAGCCTGAGTGTTCAAAGAGACCAAGGAAAGCTTGCCAGACTACTGCCCCGTAGAAGGCCTGGCTGGGATCCCCGAGCGGGGGACACCAGCGCCCCTGCAAGCAGGGGCAGCATCGGTGTTCAGGCGCCCGGCATGTCCCAAACTTGCTGGTTGCCCACCAGCCTGAAGAAAAACACCAACCGCGCGTAGAAGAGCCTGCCGTCGAAAAATATGCGCCGTCACATCTCGGCTGGAATGATCGCAAGCACCGTCACGCAGGGCACAGGATAGCAGATGGAGTGGTATAGCGGGAATAAGCGGCAGAAGCTGCGGCAGATGGTATGGGGACCACCGCGTCGAAGAAGACAATGAAGAGGAAGAGCAACAGTTAGGCTGCTTTGGGCCCCAGTAGCTGTCGAAAGACGCGCGTGGCTTCTGTTTTGGTTCACAGTGACTGTCCATCCAAAGACGACGGCTGATCATGCTGAGGCTCGGGTGCTACTTACGTGTTGGGTGGGCGGGTGGGAGTGAGCGAGACTGCGGGTGGGAGGGCGGGTGGAAGGGCAGGCGGGGCGGTGTCTTGACCTCTCCCCCATACTGCCTCCCCTGGGTCTGGACGACGGGAGAAGGAGGGGTTAGAGGGTAAGATGGCTCAAGATGACTCAAATATGGCCCCCCTTAGGTCAAGTTGAACTCCAAGATGGCACAATGTAGCGCCAGATCGCTCAAGATAGCCCCAAACAGTTTCTGAGAGACCTCAAGACGATCACAAGACGGCTCCAAGTGCTCCCGGCCCCCTCCAAGGAGCCCCCCAAGAGGCCAAAATCGCAATGACATCAGATTTCTCACCTCTTCGCCTCCGATGGGCCCCTGAATCCTCAAGATGGCACGAAGATGGCCATATCCAGGAAGGCGTCAAGACGGCATAAGAAGCCTCCAAGAGCGCTCCAAGAGGGCATGAAGAGACTATCTGTCAGCCTCCGAGGAAGGGGGGGACCTATTCGACGACCCCCGTCTTTTGAGCCATGGGGCCCAAGATCGCTTCAAGAGGGCCCCCGATCCCCTAAAAAGCCCAAACAGGACCTCCCCCCAACAAAAAAAGCCCCAGAGGGCCCCACTAGGGCCTCAACAGAGTCATAAACAGGGCCACAAGAAGACGCAAAGATAACTCCCAAGACCACCAAGATACTCTTACCACAAAACAAAATCCGCCAAGACCTCCTCCTCCTTCTCCTCCTCCTCCTCCGCCTTCTCCTCCTCCTCCTCCTCCGCCTTCTCCTCCTCCTCCTCCGCCTCCTCCTCCTATCTAATCTCCTTTGCCTTATCCTCATCCTCCTCCCCCTCCTCCCCCTCCTCATCCTCCTCCCCCTCCTCCTCCTTCTCCTCCTCCTTCCAAGATGGCTCCACGAGGCCTCCACGAGGCTACCAAGAAAACTCGCCTGGGCATTGATCTGGATGGACTTGTGGGGATTTGTTGCTTGTCGCGGCCGCGGGCGAAGGCGCCGACGGCGTCAGCAGAGTTAGCTCGGGCCACGAGCAACCTAACTGCCGGCGCGGGCGCCGAACAGGCAAGACCTACCGCCGAGGGAAGCAGCCGCGCCGGGGCAGAGCTGCGCCGGGGGGGGGGGGGACTGCCAGCTGCGGAGGCGGCTGGGATGCTGCAACGTGCGAGTACCATGGGAGCCGAATCGCCAGGTACGAGAAGTAGGCCTCGTCGCCACCGGGCGCCAGAGGACAGGGTAGCAGACCGCCAGCTGACACGCCAGGCCGCACGAGAAGGCTGAACCACTCCGGAAAGACACGGCGGGCCAGTACCCCAGGTGGCCAGCTGACAACCAGAGCCAGGGAAGTGCAAGCACTAGCAGAACTGGTACTTGTGGGGGTACTTTTTTTGTCAGCGGCCGCAGGCGAGGGCGCCAGCGGCGAGGGAGGTCCGAGAGGGCCGCGCAAGAGCCGAATTGCCAAACGCCGACGGGCCGGCGAATGAGTTTTTCCCTACCTAGGCTCTGCCCAGAGGGTTCTTACTCTCTTAGCTTAAAGGGGCCGGGCAGTGTAACACGCCCCGGGCGGTTCCCCCGGTCCCCGCCCCGCGGTTCCCCCAGTCCCCGCCCCCTGGGTTCACCCAGCTTAGCTTAGCTTAGCTAAGCTTAGCTTGGCTTAGCTTAGCTTAGCTTATATCATCTTAGCTTAGCTTAGCTTAGCTTAGCTTAGCTTAGCTTAGCTTTGCCTAGCCTAGCTTAGCTACGCGTAGCCTAGCTCATCTTAGCTTAGCTTAGCTGAGCTTAGCTTGGCTTAGCTTAGTTTAGCATGGCTTAGCTTAGCTTAGCTTAGTTTAGCTTAGCTTAGCTTAGCTTCGCCTAGCCTAGCTTAGCTTAGCTTAGCTTAGCTTAGCTTAACATACCTTAGCTTAGTTTAGCTTAGCTTAGCTTAGCGCAGCGCAGCATAGCGCAGAGCAGCATGAGCACAGCATAGCATAGCATAACACCGCCAAGCATAGCATAGCATAGCAAAGCACAGCATAGCATAGCGCTGCATAGCATCGCATAGCATATCATAGCATTGCATCGCATAGCATAACGTAGCATTGCTTAGCATAGCACAGCGCAGCATAGCATTGCATAGCACAGCACATCACAGCATAGCATAACATTTCATAGCATATCATATCACAGCGCAACATAGCATAGCATAGCATAGCATAGCATAGCATAGCATAGCTCAGCACATAATGTCATATCATAGCCTAGCATAGCATAGCATAGCTCAGCATAGCATAGCATAGCATAGCATAGCATAGCGCAGGATAGCATAGCATAGCATAACATTACTACTACCGCTACTGCTACAACTGCGACGATGAGGAGAAGGAGGAGGACGGCGTTTACCGTTACTACTACTAAATTTGCTCTCCTAGGGGCTCCAACTCCTAGGTAGGGTCGCTCTGGGATAATTCAAAACCAAGTTGCGGGTGGGTGGGTGGGATGATTACGCGGGCAGTGGATTTGACAACTCCAAGCTTTTCAAGATCAATTGCACCACACAGCTTGCACCACATAGCTTGCACGACGCAGCTGACACAGCACGGTTGCACCACCTCGTTCGCAAGTCAGCAGTGGCATTACTTACTGTGTGGGGTCCACGCCTGCTAACATGTTTATGGCACTGGTTGTTACTATACCGCTTTTACACAAGGAATTGCCGTCGCGCTGTCCGTGGGAACGCCAAGCAAGGAACGAAGGGGCCTTTGCTGGCCGCGGCGAGCCTGGGCAACGCAGAGGTTCCCAGAAATAGCGCAGAGAAACGGCACGAAAGCCGAGCCCCTCCCCTCCTGGGCCCAAACTAGTCGTTACTTCAGCGTCTTGGCGAGGACGTCTGCCACAAATTACCCTGGCGAAGGACCCAACGTGAGCGGCGGTGTCATGCGAGCGCAGCCACTGGGGTCGTCGGTGGAGCTCCCTATGGGGCCACGAAACGTGTGACGGGTGTGCCGAAGTGGGTGCGGCGGCGTCATGCGAGCACAGCCACTGGGGCCTTCGGTGGAGCTCCCTAAGGGACTACAAAACATGCGAGGGGGGTGCCGAAGTGGCGATGACGGTGACGATGATGACGATGACGATGACGACGACAATGACGATGACGATGACAAAGATGATGATGATGATGATGATGATGATGATGATGATGATGATGATGATGATGATGATGATGATGATGATGATGATGATGATGGTGATGATGATGATGATGATGCTGATGCTGATGCTGATGCTGATGATGATGATGATGATGATGATGATGATGGTGGTGATGTTGATGATGCAGGTGCTGATGCTGATGCTGATTATGATGAGGATGATGGTGATAATGATGACGATGACGATCATGATGACGATGACGATTATGATGCTGATGCTGATGCTGGTAGGAGGAGGGAGGGGGCCAGCGGGAGGAGTGAGACGCGGGGCGCTGCCTCTTCAAAACGAGGACCCAGCACCACGGCATGGTTGGGAAAAAACGCCCGTCCGAAACGGCGGCGGGGCCTTCTTCTCTTCCGCCATCGGCGCCGCCATGGCGCCAGCGGGCCCGGACCCACCCGCTGGAGGGGCTGCCTCCGCCGAGGGGCTTGTCGGCCGGGCCACTGCGGGGAGGCGGGGAGGGGAGAGGATAGGGGAGAGAGGCTCCTCGAAGAGATTACCTCCCAAATGCCACGTCACCCATCGTTTGCCGTACACCCTGCGAGGAGGAGGGGGGCATGTTGGGAAGAGGAGGAGGAGCAGCAGCAGGGGGGTCGGAGAAGGGGAGAGGGGAGACGTAGAAGGTCCCTGGCTCGTTGACATTAGCTTCTGGCCCCAAAGCGCAACAGCGCCTTCAGCACGAACCCCTGCTCATCCTGCTCATCCTGCTCCCTCCTTCTCCTCATCTTACCACCCTAGTCTCCGCCCCCCCTCCTGCTCCCGTTCCTGCTCATCCTCCTCCGCCACCTGCCCCTCCTGCTCAACCAAAGCGACTGACAGGGGGGGAGAGGGGGGAACGAAGGGGGGCGAAAAG